ATGAGGGAGCTGCAGGACTTGGCTGTGCAATCGGCGGGTAGAGAGGATGGAAATGCTGTGGATCGAGCTGGAAAGCCACCGGGTCTGGTAAAGTCGCCGTGTAACCAGTTGGTCTGTGTGTATCTGGTGTGATCTTGCGGACAAAGGTTGAAACCAGGCGCGAAGCCAATATCGAACCCGACTTCTGCCCCGACCACACCAAGACTTTGAGCTGGGAAGTTATGCGCATGTATCCTGAGATCGGACCCGATGTGATTGCCATGCAGCGACACTTCGTTGGCTGCCAGCAGTAAACCGGTAGCTGAATCATCTACATGCACTGTAGCCGCACTGCTCACTTGTGGACGCTTCAGGCGCACACGCCTATCCTTGAATCTTAAATTGGACCCATTAACTCCAGGCACGCTGAGTCCGTAAGCCGCACGTCCACAGATTATGTGGGCACAAGACAGGAACTTCTTATAGAAAAGACATGAGCACTCAAACGTACTCAGGTGCACCGCCCACCCGCCTCGTGGCATGCCAACGTGGTGCCGCGGCGTACAGACCATTTCACAGCTTCCTGATAGAACTTAGCAGCGGTAGCCTTTTCTGCATCTGTTAAACACTCGGGCGATATGATGACAGGAGTTTTGACGTTGCTGGGGGCCTCCAACTCGTCAAGATCAGACAGTTCGGGGCGGTCTTCCAAATGATCACCGCAATGATATAGCACGCGAACAACCGACTTCTCGGTCGTAGCGTAAACGACGACTCGGTTGGTCGACACTAACGTTCGGGCCAGCTGCTTTGCAACTTGAGGCGGGGCGTTTGGTCCAGATGCCATGGGAGGTGGTACACACAGCGAATAATCTTCTGCAATCGTCAGCAGCTTCATCAACAAACGGCGCGTATCCGCTGCCTTGCGCTGCGTATAGCGCTTGATGCTGGCATTAAACACTTCACATGGGTTGTTGGTCGTAGCGTACCCCCCTGGAGAGTGATAAATCTGCCATCTCCAGAAGCGGCTATGAATCCATTGTGCCGCGAAATATGTCAAAAAGACGTGCAACCTTCTATCGCATTGCCACTCTTGAGATACACGCCCCCACACCTCCCAAAATTCGGTTTGGTTGAGTGTGTAGTGCATATCAAGAATACCACGATACACCATAGCTCGCACCGAATCTGGTAAGTGTCGCACTCGCTTGCGTACATTGTACATCACGTGGAAGAAACAAATCAGGTACGGACAGGTTGCACATTCTGCAACATCCCGCAGTCCGTTCAATTGGGCCTCTTCGGCGTCGCCCATTATCACGTCAACTCGAAGTGGTCTTTTCATGTGGGTCCTGAAAATTCGTGCGAAAGCTCCAATCGATTCGTAATATTCGCGTCGGGTCCTTTGGCTAACAATGAAAAGCGCGGCTAGGTGGTAGCTTCGGTGGCGATCTGTGAAACCGCACGTAACAACAGGGTAACCGATGTCGCTCAGCTTGAAAGTAGCGTCCAAGTGAAAAATGAGAAATGCTTCGCGATCCTGTAGCGAACTGATGTTTTGCATTAGCTTCAAGCTCGTGATTCCAAGTATCAACGGTTCATCATCTTCCCCGTTCCCAACAAAAGGGAAGCCGTGCTCATCTTCACGATTTCCAAACACAAACGCGGTGTCGGGATCCACTCCAGCAACGAAGGCCTTCGCGTTCTAGACCCCTGCAGCCATCGATTGTACTTGACACTACGCGGAACTTGAGGGCACGTCGGAAACCCAAGCACTGGAGTCGGTATTTCAGGTGCACGAAGCATGTTGCTCCAGATTAAGCGTGGTGGTACCGCGTTTTCGTCCATTCGCTGGATGTAGTCGCGCATTTCACGTGTCACCTTGGCGCGAGGAGGTAACGAACACGCTATGTCTTCACGCGCGTGTGGCTGGCCATTTGTGTACGCAAGCCACCGCTTCGAAGTCGGGCACTCATGCACTTTCCAGAGCGTTGCACAATTAACAGTTCCTTTGCAGTCTGGACTCTGACAGCGAAGGCGCCGCTCAGCCATCGAGTGGTCCCCGGGGCAAATCATACACCAGCGCGTCCTCACCCAAAATATGGCAGAACAGCAAAATCGCTCCCAGCGAAACTTGACTAACGCATCTTCGCCTTGGAACTCGGCTAACTTCGTCCAGGTGTGGTTTGGAGACATCTGAGGTGGGGACAGCTGCAGCTTGGTTCTCCGCAAACTCTCGAAAGGTACTGGCTTGTTGTGTTGTGTGGGGAGCTGTTGGCCGACAGTAATCTCGTGTAGATTACACCAAGGTTGTGAAATTTGAATATTTGAAAGTCTGAGCGTCAGATTAACTCGCGCGAGTTATTGTGAATCAAGAAATTCAGATTAACTCGCGCGAGTTATTGTGAATCAAGGGGTTTAAGCTGAGCCACCTACACGTTAGCGCTGGTCATCGCCGCGGTCAACGTTTTGTATGGTTGCCGTGCTTTGGAATACTGTAGAAATACCAGCCAGTTCAGCAACCAGCTTTGAAACCGTCATCTCATTGGTTAAAAATGGAGTACCAGGTAATGTGTCACTTTGCTGCAGCCCTTTGAGGTTGCTTTATGAGCAACGCGCTGTGAAATGAGCTGAATAACTCTTGTGCATGTAGTACTGACTGCGAGAACCTCTTTCTAATACACTAGCGTCGCTCTCGTAGGTGCAGTACCGACCGCGAGAACTGGTCACGGCCTTGTACTCCTTGAACGCCTTAACTTTCTTCAACAGAGTGGCAACAGCTCACGCGTGCAGGCAGTACTGCTGCGGGTTCCTTCCATACCGATTTTATGAGTCTGTAGCCGCGGGACGGCTTCCATTTCACGCAGATTGCTACTGTGCGGTAGGTCTGGCGGGCTGGCTTTTATTTATGTGAAGATGTCTGAAATGATGACACAGTTTACCTGCGTTCTCTCATCTCAGTGAGAGCTGGATAGAGTGTGCCTCTGATCCTACCTAGTAGCCATAGATGAGGAAGTGGTAGAGGTAGCCTGCATGAAATCGTACGGGTTGTGCAGCAGCACCAGGAGGGTGCGGAGCTAGCTCTACCGGTAGCCCCGCCGCCATAACAGGCCTTCGGCTCCGACGTGACCTCCTACTACGTGCAGGTACGACAGTATGAGCTGGTTCGACCAGCCATGGAAAGCTCCAGGCCGCCGTAGGCGGTGCCACGGCTTGCCACGGTGATAAACGCTTTGCAACCCTGCATAAACGAATTCACTTGTGTTTTGTATACTGTCTCCCATACGGCGTCGTTTTGCTACCGTGACTTGCAGTTTGTATAGGAGTTGAGTTGCAATACAGACTAATACTTGCTACCGTGTGCGCAACCGAAGTTGCAAGCGATACCGTACCATTTGGCTACAGTACAAGCAACAATCCTGGTCGATACCATGCAGCTGGCCAATCAGAGGTGGCGATTTCTAGAAATACAACCTGGGTTGCAAATGGCCGGTAATGTACCGGTATTAACAGCTCTGGCAATGAGGCAGAGCAACAGATCAAGCTTGGGAACTGACAATCTGGCTACCGGTACCGGTACGATGCTTGAGAAAGTACAGTTAGAAAGTGCAGGTTGCTAGTGACCGGAAAAGTGGTTGTCGACGATCACTTTCCAGCTGTTGTGGTTGTTCTCGTCTTTTTTAGATTGCCATTGTCCCAAAGAAGGTTGTTTGTGGTCCAAAGTTGGTACACTGGCGACCCGGACTCATCACCCACGAGGAGGACAGGCACGTGTACAGACAACGACGGATAAATACAGCAACGCAAAACCCGGCACACATATGTTGTACTTTTTACAATAAGTAATTCAGATAGCCAATCAACTCCGAGATTTACACTTGACATTTGTATTCCATATGGTTTTAAGGACTTTCTTAAAATTTGGGTGTACTTTATGCTCCGTTACGTGTACTTTATGTCATTGCCTTGTACAATCTCTATCGTTCCTGACAGAGAATTCTGGCACATTTACTATGGAGGATGCCATTCAGTGGTGCCGGATTTATCCGTCGTTGTCTGCACACGTTTAATACATGTATACATGTACAGGCGTCCCCGGGCTAGTCCCGGCTGTACAACTGCATATTTTAATGTACCTCGCACAGGAAGTACAACAAGCTCTCAAGATTTGTGCGCTACTTCTGCAAACGTATTGATTTTGATGAGTGTACAGCGATACCTACTGCGACAAGTGGCACGTTGCGGGAATACCTCCGCCGTAACTTCGTTCCAGCTGTGAGGCTTTGCCATATTTAGCGGCTAAAATGGTCGGCAAAATAACTGCAAAGCACAATAACATCGTCAAGGAAAACATACAGCATCGCAATCGCTGAAGTCGTTATTGCTCGTGATCATGAGCTTGGAAAGAGGCTGGGTGGACGCGCGCGGTGGCTGCAAACCATAATCTAGCAGAGCGAAGGTCTTCGACACTCTCCAATTTACCAGCAACCAGCAACACAAGGAAGAAACCTGGCCTCTGCCATGCTGCTCTACCCTGCCATCGCCTTGGTGTTGGCTCTCGGACAAGTGTCTGCGGCAACTAACCTAACCTGGACACCTTGCCCCCTCACAAGTGACAAATCCATTGACGGTAGTCCCAGCGATAATGTGGCGGAATGCACCACGTACGCTGCGCCGCTGTGCCACCCCGGGATCTGCGAAACGCCCGACTCGGCCATCTCGACAGTTGATGTATTCGTGAGGCGAATTCCCGCTGCGAACCGGCAACCCGATGTAGCTCCAAACGTGTGGCTTGTTCAGGGTAGCCTGTCCTACTTGACCTCTCTGCGTAAGTACTGCAAGACCGTTGGAGCACGTGATGATTTCAAGGACTAACATTTGCTGTGGGCGGTTGTGTTCCAGTGGACATTCCGATGCTGATACTGTATAACCAACTGAAGGGCGAGGCGAACGTGTACACGATGGACTACCGCGGGACTGGACAGAGTACGCCCTTGAAGTGTGCGGCCCAAGCCAAGTCGTCAAGCGTGGTCGATCTGGATCTGGAACTGGTCCCTGCATGTGCAAAGGAACTCGAGGAGAAGTACGGGGACCTCGCGGCCTTCTCGACCACCAGCGCTGCCATGGACCTGACGACTTTCATCTCGAAGTATGGCAACGATTTCAGTACGACCTTGTACGGAGTGAGCTACGGTACGATCTGGGTGGAGCGCGTGATGCATCTCAATCCTCCGGAGGTGACGGGGTACGTTCTGGACAGGGTCACCACGACCTCGGGGTCGTCGCTGGATAACTTCTACAGCATATCGGGTTTAGATGGTTTAGATGGCGCGTACGATGAGGTTGCCGACTCGTTCATGGCTTTGTGCTCAGAAGACAGCTCGTGCAACGCGCGCTTCAAGAAGAACGGACTTAAGGCCACGCTGCAACAATTGATGATGAAACTCGACAAGAATCCGAAAGCGACGTGTGCCAAGTTGCTGAGAAGTGCGCAAACCGGCCAAGACGAGGACCCGCCATCGTTTGTGCTTCGCTATCTGCTGGGTGCACTTTTAGACACGAAAGTGCGAACGCTCATCCCGCCAATCGTATACCGATTGTTCCGTTGCGCGAAGAAGGACGTCGCCGTTTTGACCAAGTTCATTGAGACCGTTAACCCGGGCTTGAACCCCACCGCCAAGGATATAGGCTCCGCATCCAAGCTGCTGGATACGGTTGTGGGCTTCTCGGAGATGTGGGAAGCGCCTTCACCCTCCGGTCAGGAGCTCAGGACACGCTTCGAAGGTACGAGTATGAGCGGCTGGCCGGCGTACAAGCACGTACCCGCGTACTGCGCGTTCTCTAAGGAAAAGTCGCCAACGTGCAACAAGCTCAAGGTCGGCAACTACAAAGGGAACGGCATCATTTACGAGCGCGACGAGTACTGGAACAAGGCCGCCAAAATCCCCGAGAAAGCCAACGTGTTGCTTATGAGCGGTGGACTGGATCCGAGGGCGTCTACGAAGTATGCACAGGCCTTGTTGAAGGCTCTTGACGGCCAGAAGAAGGAGCTCGTCACCTTCAAGTACGCGTCCGAGAGCAGTCTCCTCGACAGCAATGACGAGCCAGCTTGTGGTATGTACGTCCTTTCCTCTTTCGTGCAGCACGATGGCGACTTGACCAAGCTCAACAAGACGTGCCTTGAGGATGAGGCGGCATTTAGCTGGACGATACCGGAGGTTTACCAATACGCGATGTTGAGCACTAAGGACGCGTACGACGGTGAGTTCGACCCGAGCTTGAGTGCCGATGAGGCGTCTAGCGATGCCGGCGACTCATCTGGCTCAATGGAAGAAGACTCGCCTGGTCAGGCTTAGGCCTCAATTGATTCAGCCAGCAACAGTTACAGCATCTCTTCATCCGAAGTCGAGGACATGAGCGCAGCGGTCGAAAAAGTCACGGGTGGCGGAACGGGGCCTGCGCTGGAAAGGTTTGGGGCCCTGGCGGACGGCAAGCCGGTAGGCGGAGTGCGTTTCTTGGAAGATGGCAGTAAATGAGTCGGTGGCGGATTGTGCAGCATAAAACTGTCGGGCATTCGGTAGGCTTCGCGATCACTCACTGACATGTGAATACACAAGCCCGTAGATTTGTATTCCGTTGCGTGTCGACAACGAACGCTTTCACCAACTTTGTCGTGGAGAGCTCCCATCTTCTCTGCTTACTCGTGACCCACAAAAGAAGATCCGAGGTTAGTTCGAAGTACTGCGTAATATATGTAGCACTGTACTACTTCGTATTGTGCTTTGCACGAACTTTGGCATGCGATTAAGGGCTCTAAACCAACGAGCAAATCCTTCCCGGTGTTCATATCTCGCAGCCTAACTCTAAGTTAAAGTTAAGCTAATCAACCGCCAGTACCAAGCACAACGCAGAGCAAGAACGGAGCGGTTGCCACTGCAAGAATAAATCGGTTGTCGCTGCAAGAAAACAAACTGATAAGGTCCCGATAGAATGGCGCCAACTCCTTGCATAATAGTAAGCACCGATTTCGGCGGGGACGTTTTCTTCTTCGCTCTCTTCGTCGTGGCCTTGCGCGTTAAACCAAGCTCGAATTTCAGAGCACGGCATATAGTAGCAGTAGAAAATTTCTACTAGCAATGTTTGGATGTGCAGGAAACGCTGACTTTAAAGCTGCTTGCAGCTCCTGGATATAAAAACAGGGATGTTCTTCAATATTGTAGATGTAGTTCAGTACGATAGATCGCCAACGCATGTCAATCATCGACTACATGTAGAAAGCAATCAGACAAAGCGAGTGAGTTAGAATTAGAATGTCAGGGCCGTAGTATTGTCGGATTTACTCCAGCCATTCAACGAAAGTGAGCATAACTCAACGTTAACTCGTTGTCTTAGCAGTTATTCTATCTTAAATCGACGAGTTAGCCTCCTAACTCAATGATGGGCTAATCACCATGATTTGCTAAAACAACGAATTACGTCGTTGTTTAGACAGAAAGCATGCAAGGCACAATAATACATGTAGTTATATTACGAATAATTGCAAATTATCACAAACTCGTAAACATTGCTTCATGGGCCATGAATCATGGCGCGGCTTAGCTTGTTCACGTAATGCTGATGGGGTAGTACTGTAATACGTTGGAGCTGTTCTACTGTTGTCTTTTTATCCATGACGAACGCGGGTGACGGCCTCTCCGGTAAGTTTCAGCTGATAGTCCACCAGAATGCCAGATCGCACGGAGTTCGTCGTCGAAACAAGAACGCCCAACAGGTCTGCGACGTCTTCCAACCTCATACCTCGGTTATTCCATGCCTGAAACAGGTGATGCTGCAGGGTCTTCGCGACCTTCTTCGCCTTCGAGGTGTTCATGAGTTTTTGGCAAAGTACCGCTATATCTGCTTCCGAGTGTGTCTCCCGCAACTTCGCGTAAATGAAGTCATCCGGATACCAGAAGTTAGCCTTCTTCGCTTTTCTGTACTTGGCAATGGCTGTGAACCACTTTGAGGCGGCGGAGCTGTTGTCGTCAAGCCTTCCAGTCGCAATGTCTAGCTTCTGGAAAAGTTCGTCGAGCTCTTTTGCAGACCAGCCCCATCTTCTCTCTTCGTCTTTCGAGTCGTAGGACCACAGCAGCCGCTCCAACGCAGCTTGGTTCTGATCGGCTGCGCGGAGGTTCCGGTTCGCGTCGGTGACTTGGTCGGCTTGTCGGCGGGCTACGGCAGCATTGATCTCCCAGAGAAGGAAAATGACAGCCAGCAACACAATGCGTTGGGCAAACATAGCTGCTGCCCTGGGAGATTCTTGGTACAGCTATTGGGAGCTTCGCAAAATGAGAAGTGAGAGCAAGACGGCGGGGCACTCTACAAGCTCGTACAGTACCAGCCAGTCAAAAGTGCGCGATACGGTGCACGACGTGTATCCTGGGATGAACGAAACCTGGCTAACTGTAAAGTAATGACCGCATCACACCTTCTACGAGCCCGAGCCCGTCAACTTCAAAAGTGGGCTCCCCCTAATACGAGAGCCAAAAGTCGCACAAAATGGTCTCCCTCATGGTAAGTACGAGATCAAGGAGCCCTGGTCCGTCCCCAGATTTAGCTTCAAATCTATGACGGGCTCTTCATAGTAATATCTGATTGGTCAATTTTACCTAGACTTAAGGCGAGCAACTTCGCGTGATCGATGCGCCACGCTAGAAGATCGAGCTCAAAGATCACCACACGAGAAGATCTCGCGCCGCTCATATGTGTACAGCCGCTCCGAGGTCACCCCAGCGTCGCCGATCGTCCTTCC